AACATGTATATAATTTTGCTCATAACAAAAATTAATTTCTATCTCTGATATCTTGTAAATTGTCATCTATTGTGTAATTGTAATCTTGCTTATGATGTAAATGAAAGGAAAATTAAAATATTTGGCTAAATTTGATCTCGTTGCTAATAATATTTCAATGCCTTGTTGATTTTTCAGATTTTATTCAGTTTCAAAATCCAAGATTTTATTAAACAGATATCGTGAGATACATTCGAATCCGACAATTTACGATCTGTATTTAAGAAATATTTAAGAGTGCCCATTTATGCGCATCATTCATCTTATACTACAGCTTTAATAAGTATTTTTATAAGATTTATAATATACATTCTCTTTTAAAAAAAATTCCAAACCAAGGTTTGGAACAAGTTTGAGGGATCATTATTAAAAATTCGTTGGCTCTGTCAAAATATACATTGATTAAGCTCACTGTATTCTCAATTGGTTTTGTTTCATATGAGATTCGATATAAGTTTAGCGATATAAATTCATCAACACAATTAATACACGTCAATGTTAACTTTCTCAACAATAGCTTATGATGTATACTGAATTTGTTGTACCGAGACAACAGACCGTGATACAAGTACGTATACTAAACTTCTTGTAACATAAGATTTAGAACCATTTTAATAGTCTCTGTAACGAAATCTTCGCAGTCTCCGAGGTGTCCGATAACTCATTATATGGGTGACGTATAATATTAGCTGATGTATGGTACCCTCGTGTACTATAAACGCCAATTAGGATACAACGTCAGATTTCTTGCTTATACCGCCTTGATTCCTACGAATGTGCCTCTTTCACTGCTCCCCTATGCTCGTTTTCGCAGAGAGAAATGAACAGGTCTTTTTCGAAGATAGGAATGACGTGTCCACGTCATTATCGGAAATTCTGTAGGGAGGTGGTGTACTTATCTTATTCGCCGTGATATTCTGTTTTTTTTTCATACTGCTCTCATTATCCTTAAATCAGCGTCGAATATCTCTCGTATTCGATCAATCTTATTTAAGAGAAGTAAAAAATCTCAATATCATTACGAAATAAAAAACTAATAAAATGTTACTTCTCTTTTACATTGTCCTATTTTACTTAATTTATTTAATAATTTTAGCAAGTTTCCGAATTTTCCTCTATAGTTTTTATTCCTTCTGCGCTATTAAAAATATTATTAAAAGATTTAATAGAGGGGAAAGAAGGTATAAAGTACCGCTTAATAATTTTACGATATTTCTTGAAGAGAAAATGCATGGTGTATTGCTTTAATTTTTAATACCAGAATTTTTATCTATATATAATTATGATTTTGATATTGGTACCTATAGTATTCAACGATTGCTGATAAAATTAAGTAAATCTTTATATAGAAATATATCCAGGTATTTTGTATGTCCGTTGTTCTTTATAAACGATCGTATAACTAAATATAAGTACATAATTATTTAGACGCAACGCGAATGTAAATCGTAAGAATCCCGATGTAGAAGATTGAACTATTTCTCGTTGCAAAACAAAATATATTGTTTGTTATATAAAGCAACTTTGATTTAGTAGTAGGAATGTATAAAAGGGGAATTGATGGTGGCTTCGTAATACAATCACGACTACAGCGACGTTACGGAAAAGAAAAAGGAAAAAATATACGGGAGATAAATGTAATTTATTCGATAATCCGTATGCGATAACGGAATCTATCACACTCTCGTAAGCGCAATCGTTCCATTGAAGGTCTCCCCTTTTTCAGCCAGAGCTGCCCACCGCCGGCAATTTGCAGCTTCCATGTCGGCATTACCTTCGGCTGTTCCATACTCACTCACTGCGACGACAACCCTCCTTCCTCAAAAGAGAACAGCCACCCTGTTCGTCCGTAAATTACCTACCTTCGACTTGCTTTTTCATGTACCGAAGTTTGTCTTCGTTACTAGTCGAGTTCTCATTAAATGAGATGAGATGACACGAAGCAATGTGTGCGACTTCCATGCGATATATTTCAGAAAATCGGAACAAATATGTAATCCATATTAATGTCTACATTACAGTTAAAAATTTATATATTTCTATATCGTTTATTCTTTTGAAGAATTTATTGTAATGTATTGCACATTCATTAAACAAATACGCAAAACTTTCATTAATTACGACAATTAAGCTACAATTTAATTTTAATATATTTATTAAGTACCAAACAGATTAACAAATGTACTTGGTACTTCATAATATTTAGTAATTTCAGTAAAATACATTTTAAAAAGAGGGAGACGCGTTAACGATATGAATGACTTTAGCTAAATTTGTTTTAATGTTACGAATAATGTTGAGAATGTTATTTCTAATATTAGAGAGAAGAATATGTGCACATGTAAACTTTAAGGCGTGTTCTCTTATGGCTTCTCAACACTTGTAGTAAGCTGAATTGTCCTTAAGTAAACGTGGCAAGTTCCCAGTTAGCGCAAAGGCATTTATGGCTACGTGATCAAAGTCAGGTTCTGAATAATGGATATTGTTGAAAGCTACTACTTCATTATGTTCATGTATTTTCCGTGCCTGATTTAAATGACAACTTTGCAACTGCGCAACGTCGCGAATTTTCTCAATACAATTCAGGAACTTAATAACGAAGACAAATATTCGACAGCAAGTTTTCAAATTGCATCGATATTGCATGTGTGCAAAAGAGAAGTGTATCGTATTCTTTTAACCTTGAAAAAAACGTAAAGATAGGGTGAAAATTAGAAACATTTTTAAGTACGAGTGAAACTTTCATGAAAGAAAATACAAGCTAAAGCTGTACGTTCGATAGTCTGCATGCTTATTTATTAAAATGTAAACGTATATTTCCAAAAATTAAACGTTTAATTTTTTAGGCAAATATATAATACTGTGTACAACTTTGGCATTTCCACGTCATCAAAATGTTCTTTTTTTCTTCGTAAGAACTCGTAATACAAGCTCGAATCTCAGTGTCGTTTATCATGCTTTCAACCATCATGTATTACGTAGAGCATCAAGTTTTGTGTCGTTCAGGCTTTTACGACGCTGTCACTACGTATCGTAGCTTTCGAGTTTGTCGCAGCGAGCCTTGTCCTTTACAGCTGCAGCCGACGTTTACTCAAAACTGCTTCGCATGAATAAAGTAAATTGCGCATTCTAGTCGAATAATGTCGAATATTTTATATGACGTCACGACCATGATGTCGCCCTTGAACCCCACTAACGAGAAATCATTTAGTTACTTTGCATCCTTCCTGGGTTGGAGAATGAAATTACCTCATTTACATGTAACAATAGCAACTTCTCTTACAACATATACATATATATACACTAGTAAAATTTTAATTTTGGAATTATTCAGAAGATATTCAAGCCGCAGTTAAAAGCTGCAAAAAGTGTTGTGTCTTTTTAAAATATCTCCATGGAATGAGAAGCGGAGAAAGATACACAATTCTTTTACACCATGTATAATTCTTAGTTTTAAGTAGATATAATTAGATATAATTAAATAGATATAATTTGATGAAATGGATATAATAGATTTAATTTGAGTTGCGAATGTTCATTGATTTTCACAATTATCTCTGTCGGAAACTCAAGAACAGGATTATATCTCATAAGTTTTTATTAAATTCATATTTGTTGACAAATTTAATAAATGGACAAATTACGACGGTTTATAAAATTGTGTATCGAGGACTAACAGCTTAAGTTAATTATCCTTTAGTCGTATAGGAAGACACGTTTGTTGATCTATTTCTGATTTCTTATCACTAGAATCGAAGCGACCATCCTCGACGTGAACAATCACAAAGTCTATGTTTCTGAATATTGAAATAATATCAGCAAAGTAGATTGTAATAGAAAAGTTTGTTACGAGAAATAAATTTATATTATTTAATTTTATATTACTTACAGAAAACAAATGTTACTTTCTTTTAATATCAAAGATTATGCTGTTAATTTATTAATAACAATAACACTCCATAATTCTTAATTATTTTGATGAAAATCTCTTTATAAAAAGAAGACAGAAATATGAGATAGTATAAAATTTAAATATAAACATAATTTAATTAAGATAGCGGTTTTTTCTTTTTGGATTTCTCGTAGAAAAGCAGAAAGAAAATTGAATAATACGGTATAATCTGTATAATTTGTATTTATACTACTGGGCATAGAATATAACACACACACACACACACAATGTAGATCATAAATTAAAATAATTCATAATAATATAATGAGTTGTTATGAGCGCGAAAACCGCGCGTCAGACAGCGAAATCGCAAGCGGCAAGTTATTGGATAGCACTTGCCGCGTGCGAAGAAAGTCGAGTATCCGGAGCAAAGGGCAAAACCACCGAAGGTGGCTGCATAGGCAGTTGCTATCGAAACAATTGCTAAGCAATAAGCGGCCCGGCAACGGGACCGAAACTGAAAGCTATAAAGAGAAATGAAAAGAAGGGAAGGCGGATCAGTCTAACTTAAGGACCACAAGTGTACGTGAGAATAACGTTTATATATATATATATATATATATATATATATATATATCTATTGGCAATTAATTCTTGAATAAAGAAATATTTTCTATAATACGGTTGTTGACTCGTCGACTTGGAGTGTTTGGTGCGAACCTGGCAAACGATTCCAGACATACCCCGTGCCCTGACTGACTCTCGAGGCACAACAGAGTGTTTAGCATTTCTTCGCTTTTATCGTGATATTTAGTTTTATACTTATTCGTTTACCCCTCCTTGTGTTAAAAAATTGGTGTTTCCTCTCATGTGTGTGATATTTCTCTAACATATGGATTCCCATTTACAGAGGCAAATGTCGAATATTTCTAAAAATTCGAAAGTCGGAAATAAAACAAAGGATACAATACAGAAAGTGAGGGAGAGAGAGAGAGAGAGAGAGAGAGAGAGAGGGGGGGGGGCAGGCGGGAGGAGAAGAAAGGAGAAGAAAGGAGAAGAAAGGAGAAGAAAAGAGAAGAAAAGAGAGTCTATCTACTAGTTGCTTCAACCAGTTGCGCCTATCTAAGAATATTCGTCGAAAGTGCGAGCAAACGACTGAAAGTGACCGAAAACGACCTTGTTTCTCTGTCCGTTTGAAAGGGATGTTTTTGCAACACACAATAAAAGAGCGCGCGTGGTAGAGAAGTTGGCGTCCGATCCAGAAGCCCAAGCTCCACTTCTACATATCCTCGTGGGGGCGCATCGCCACGCCTCCCGCATCTATATAAGCGCCATGATCGCGGTGGAACCCTCACTCGCACCCCAGTACTCGGTGGTGAGCCAAGGGTGAGATTCCTTCCCGAGCGAAGGACGAGCGGAAGCTGCGGCACCGACTTTGCGACTTTTATCCCTACCGGATTTTCGTGAACGCGAAGCGAACTGTGAGCCGAGCGGACGCAGATCGTGAGACATGAGGTCTTGGTTGCTATGGTTGTCTCTTCTGTTGGTCGTCCTGGCCGATAGAAGCTTTGCCAATCCCTACTTTGATGACGGTGGTGAGTAGTCATAGTCCGATCCTTTTTTGCGCGTTAATGGAAAACTGGAAGCTCTTTCAAATATAACGCAACAACTAGGAAAATATTTGGAAAACGTTTGGAAAAATTCAAAAATTTTAGACTATCAGATATTTTTACAATAGTTTTGGATTCGTTTCAACTTATCTGGTTCACTGTCACTGGTATATAGATTCGAATTATTTAATATCCACGTGCGCGAGAGTCACTAAAAAAATTATAGATTTATGATGCAGACACACTGATTTTTTACGCATTTCATGTATGATGTATGACTATAATAGGAGATTTAAAAGGAGCACTATGTACATGACTGTAATTACAATGGTTAACAAATCTTCATTTAGAAAACGCCATTGGTATTTGCATCGCGTACTCGCGTAAAGAAAGTAAGACGAAATATATTACTACGATTAAACCATCGGACAATTGTTTTAACTGAATTTGTTTTCTGTTTGCGTCAACATTGACGTAAGCAGCTCACAGAAAGTTTATGATAGAATATCTTTGTGATTGTAAAAGAATTATTTTTTCAGTATTTTTACGACCTTTAGTATTTTTTGAACTTCGGGCTAAGCATGGCATTAGTTTTTTTTGTGCGATATATGTTTTCAATAGAAAACCTTTTTTATTTTTTTAAATATCGTTGCCATTGTCTACCGTGGACGCGCAATAAAAATAATATCGTACAACTGTCGAGAATAAATATTGAGGCTAAACAAACTTTTATACGCTTTGCTTGTTAAAATAACGTAAATATATTTTTATATTTTATTATATACTTTTTACATAATTTACAAGTATATGTATAAAAAGTGATGTCTGTAATTGACCTGACATAGGAATTTGTATCACGTATCGTTATGTATCGTTACGTTACACATTAATCTTCTTATTTACAAAAGTAACCATGAAATATTTGAAAATACATCTGCATGCCAATTATTTTTAAATATAAGTTTTGACACGAAAATTATAATAGTAATGTTGTGTGTGCGCAAAAAAGTTTTTCATTAAAATATATCTCATCCAGAAAGTTTTATTGAAACAAACCTCTGTTTTGCTAGAACTGCGATTGTAGGAAAATCTCGTTGAATATAGTTGATAGGGTTTACCTCGTTTGAGTCTTTTTTTTTAAATTGAGTCTTTTGAAATCCAACAGTGAGAGAGAGAGAGAGAGGGAGTTATGGATAGTTTTTTAAAAATATTCAAACTTCTTAGGAGGTGTTTCAATATTGTAAACTTTTTAATTGATATTTTAATTTGTTTAACGTTTCGGAATTAATCCAAGAGACCCTGCGAGTATTAAAACTTGCAAACTGTAATAGCACATTACTTTGCTCGCCAGTGTTACAATATATCAAAACTCGTTGAAACTTGTAATACATCGATACATAATACTCGCTTTTTTCGATCGTGTAGTTTGCTAAGAATCTTGAGTTTATTACAGATAATAGTTAACATTATATTAATATTAAATTTAGATAGCGTGCATGTAAATGCGGTTTACACAAATATGCCTGTAAAATTGTTAAAAATAAAACAAATGGAAATATTTTAAGAAAAGAGTTTGACTTGAGAATTTGCCTAATTCGTACCACGTCAAGTCAATCGGATCGTGCAGATCGTGCAAGTGGAGCAGGTTTATATATAGTCGGACGGTGACCGATTGAATAAATTGGCGCGCGTTAAAGTTGTCAAACTTAACCAAATGGTTTGATTCGATATCGATATTATTTCATTTAGTCATTAGGAAATTTATTTTAAAGGTGAATTTTAAAAAAGTGAATTTGTAAATGCAAGAATGGATATAAATAGAAATTTATGATACTTATTTAAAAAGAATTGGTCTAATAGTGCAGTGCTTCGAAAATGTCTCGTGATGATTATAGATTTTATATTCAACACTTTTATTCTTTCAACTAAGAAAGAAGTATTTTTATGATGACACCATTTCTCACGATAATTGCAATCAGCAAAATGAATCGTTTGAAACATGGGAAAATCTTGGTGACCGTATAACTGCCAATACCAATGAAACCGTAATCAGTTTCTGGTGGGACAGTGGTTTCAGGGAGATTTAATTGCATCCGCGTTTGATTGATTATCGGGGCTTCCTTTGAAGACGTTGCAATAGCATGTTGATCGATTTCTCGATACCTCCTAATTGTTACGTTATACAATACTTTCGTTACTTTATACGTTAAGTCAACTACATGTTTATTTTAATAAATTATTTATGTATTGAAATTTACAATACGTGATGCTTTAACGGTGTGTGATAACTGGATTACCGCGCTCCGTATGGCAAACACGAGGTAAAATACATTTCTTTTGGTGGATTACAAAGATACAATCTTACTTTACGAACAATAAAATGGAATTTATTCTATTATCACAGTCATATTTTATCATCTTGTTAACCCATATGCGTCTTCTAATAATTCTCTGATAGCAGCTAGTGATATGAGGAAGACGTATATGAAAAACAATGTAGAAAATTATTAGGAAAGGGTGCGTTATAATTTATAATTAAATATGTAATTAAATTTTATATACATATATAACATTTGATATATATAAAATATATTTCAAAATTTTATTATAAAAATTAATTACAAGTTTATAAATTACAAGATTAATTGTTATATTATTTCTCCTAAATCTAATTCCATGTATTCAAAAGTTTCCATAATTCCTAAATGTTAACAAATTTTAAAATTAAAATAAATTAAAAATGGTTATAGATAATGAAGATTGCTTTTTAACGATTTTCTAACATGGTACGTTGCAGAAATATTGAGACGTAGGTTTTTCCAGAGCATTCATATAAATTGTGAAATAAAATAGTGTTGAGAAGAGGGAAAAAGAAAATCGAGTAAGGGGAGTGTGTCTTACAATAGATTAGTATCTTAAACCTTGGAGCGACCGTAGTTGACAAGAGAGAAAAGAAGGAAAATAATGGATCGTCGCTAATTCATTTCCAGTAGATATACTATTTGGTATAGAAACACTCTCATCCAAATTATCTTGTAATAAATTTATAATTAATTTTTTTTCCACAATATTTTTCGCAATCTTTTTCTATTATCGCGCAGAAATTGTGCGAGTTAAGAATATAACCGAATAAAAAGAATGTGTATAATTTAATAATTCCATTACAATTAGGTGAGTAATCCGACACAACTGGCTACAGGAAAAATCCTTTATTGTATTGTACAATTGTTAATTGTTATTTAATCGCTGGCGATTTAATTATTCAAAATAGTTTTTTTTAAATTTCTTTTTACTTTTAATCTTTCCTGTTGTTCATTACTTATCTATATAATTTCTGAATTTATTTTTAGTGAATAAAATGTGTAGTGCTATTTATGATATTTATGATAATTATAATATAGATGTATTATGTCAATTTAATCTGCTAACAACAGAGATACAATACATTTTTCAGTGAGAAAAGGAACCGTATTTCATTCCATTTGCTTCAACGTAACGTGCCCTTTTACCTTTACGCAACAGGAAGGATTTCCTTGTGTAAGAGTTGAGAAACACATAATGAGATTTGCCGTAATAATCTTAATGGACTACTTAAATTTTCCTCTATGCAAGGTTGCATCATAGCGAAAACAAAGATGTGCGATAATGAAAACGGAACGATGAAAATTATAAAATATAACTTTATTAGTGATGTACGTTTTACAAGTAGTTAAACATTTTTATGAAATTTTGTGAGCTTTATTAAAAGTATGTGGGCTATGTGTAAAGCATATAAAAAATTGCATCTTTTCTCGATTACATAATTTTCAATATATCTGCTACTGAATGTCTAAGTTTGTGAATAAATTTAGCGTAAATTTTTTCTGAATTTCTGAATGTAAGATAGCTGTGTACAATTTAATACTTTCTGCTTATTTCGATTCATACAAGTAGCCTTGTTATATTTCTTATACTTGCATGTATATTCTGTTTGATAAAATTTATTTTTGTCAAAAGATAGAAATACTTATTCTCTCTAGTAGTCGCGTATCGAGTCGAAGAAATGTATCAAGATCGAGTTTGTAATATCTCCGTTGTTGTTTCATAAAATATATAGAACGATATATGTATATATATACATATAGAATGTTCTTTTAGTATTACTTTTGTCTCATCTCCCCAATGAGATGTACCCTTTAAGTCCTCAGATTGTACATCGTAATCCTTGAACTGTGCTCGTATATAATTATCGATACGTAACATCAGTCTTACTGTTTGCTCACGAAGATAACTTTGATAATAATGTTGTCCACAAATTTAAACTAATAAATTCTATTAAGATAAATCATTTTGTGTTTGCAGAAGATGTAGATGATCTTCAAGGTGGCGATTCCTCGGATTATACAGACAATGCTTTAGAGAATCTGATACGAGTGGCACAAAAGTGAGTAAGATTATCTTGTTAATTCCGATTTTATTTTCCTACGATTTTCCTCTCTCGACATCTTTCCCGAGGTCCCTAGAATGTCTTTTGCCTTTTTCCATATTCTATTCTTTCTGACTGATTGCAAAAATTGTATATATTTTCCGGACTCTGAAAATATTAATAGATAATATTTCTTTTCTAATTACACGTTGTTAAAAGTTATTAGTGATATACATATGTATGAATGCGTGTGCATTTGCGTGTGTACGTGTAGCATCCTATTATTATTTACTTTATATTACATGTGCATATACATTATATTATACATATGTGCACGCATACGCGCGCGTGTCAAAAATTGAAAAGATTGAAAAAGAAAGGTTTGAAAGAATCTTGCATTTTTGCAATTCTAAGAAACAGTTATTTTTCTGGCATTCATGTAATGCGTATGTGTGTGTGTGTGTGTGTGTGCATGAATGCGCGAGACATATCAAATTGATATTGCGATCTTTTAGCCCCTCCCTTTCGCCTTGATGTTTCAATGTTGTGAAAAAACATTCTCTTGATTTCCCTAATCTCGAGTAGACGTACCTCGTCGATAAACTTGTTTAGGCGGGCTTGCATAAGGCGCGGCGGCGATTGTTACCATCGACGGAAGGACTGCTGCTACAGCTCTAGTTGCCGCTGCAATCTCTGGGGTTCTAATTGCCAGTGTCAACGGATGGGTCTCTTTCAAAAATGGGGCTAAACGATATCCTCCTTCTCTTCCTATACCCTAAATCTTCTTATACTCATGCGTTTGTTTCTTGCATTTTTTATTCTTCCTTTTCCTTTTACTATCCTTTCCTCTCCTCCCCCCTTCCCTCTATCTTCCTGAATCATCCACTTCCCTGAAAGATTATTCCGACGGTATTTCCCTCGAGCATATTTGGACGTTCCTCCCGTTTAACCCGCTCGAGACAGCTGTCTCGTGGGAATAATTTTAACATTTCTTCAAGTATTGCGATTTGCATTCTTCATTAAAACATAGGCCTCGATAATACGCTTTGATATCTTGTTTTGTATTTCTAAAATTTTTTAAATAGAGAGATACACACGAGCTTGATTCTTGCAAAGCTTGCGATATCGTGATTGGCAATAGCTTGCAAAATGTTACGCTTAGAAACAATTTACATTCTTCCACGGTATCTACAAATCCCTAGTCTCTCAATACAATTTTTCATGACTACCTCTCTCGCGATATTCGATGCTCGGGATCAACTGCTGACTAATCGGTATGCTTAAAGATCCCCCGTCTCTTTCTAGATCGTAACTCTGGTTAAAACGTAGGTAATGCGAAAAATATAATTAATTCGTAATGGTCAACTTTAGTGCAATCGATCTTTATCGAGATCCTTGTCAAAATTTACGTCTACACGTGCATACACGCGCACAGTCACGACATTTTTGGAATAGAGTATTTTTTCATTTGGTATTATATGAATTTCTTTATTTGAAATATATTTTCTTTATACTTGTTGACACAATATTCCTAAACACCCCTCCTTGAATTTTCCACCGTTTCAACTTCAGCGGTGAAGGTTGTCGTCGTATTGGAGTCAGAAATGGCGAACCCACTATGGCGAATGCATCTTGCATTCAAAGGACCTTGACTCACACTAATCGATCGTTTCTTCAGCTGCAATTCATCGGATCTTCCGGATACAACGTGCAAGGAATAAAGATACACCATTATTTCTTAAATTTTATCAATTTGTCTTGCTGCTAGCAAAATCAATTTTCAAGAGTGCTCAATAAAATTACCAAGTATCTGCAAAATACAATAAACGTCCTCTTTTAAGCACGAATTTCTTTATTTGATATTTCAAAGTAAATTTGAATATGTATTTAAAATATATGTAGATATGAGAGGAAAATTACGTTTGATTTATGACGGTAATCTTCCTTGAAAATTTTCCATTCCAACACTTTTTAAATTAAAACTTGAAAAATTTTGAATCTGACAACAATACAAAGTACTGAAAAAAATTATACGTGAAAGTTAATACGTTTATATTAACCAAAGTTTCAAATTAGTTTTGACTCTCGCGCGTCGTATTACTCCTTTCAGCGACTCTTCCGGACCTTGAAAAATTTAACTATACTTTCATTTGCGTTAATAATAAAAATATAAAAACTCTCGATGATATCTATTACAAGAAATGTGACTTTCCCAAATGAAACTGACAATGAGTCAGGATCAATTCTCGTGTTTTCGGGATTTCACAATCACCCTGGGCAGAAGAAAAAATTGGAAAACGTTAATGAAAAAATGCGCGATAAATTATGGGAATTACTGCCTTCTGATTGGAGATATCTCTCCGGCCACTTTCGCCAATCAGATCGTTGATCTTCCTTAACTTAATTTTGTCGAGGGTGATTGCGAATAATCGATAGGATAATTAATAATGTAACGACAGACTTGTTCCAACCAAGTACGAATATGGTGATTAAAAGGGATGGAATTATTGTATAGTCATGAAGAGATTGATGAAGAGAGATTTATAATTAATATATGTATATGTATTTAAAACGGCGGTGATTTATCTATAAAACGTACCTTGATGGTACGTACGCAGATATGAATAATCTGCAATTTACATTTTCTCCACACCACATCTTAAACTTTAAACGTATTACCTACACGTATGATTATAAAGGAAATACTATATGTTTATGCATTGTATTTGAAGGTGGATGTACACGTCTATCGATATATCATGAAAATATAATATACAATATATATACATCATATTATATATGTATACGCGGAAATGTGTGTAATTCTCTTTTCTTGTCATTAACCCTATATCGTTGATAGTTTAATTTGCAATTTATTTTGATTTCAAAGCCAGTGACTTTTCCATATCTCAAGATGGATAAATGTACAAAAATTATCACCTTTTCCCTCAAATTATATAAAAGTATAAAATATTTTCCGTTACAAACCTTAATGTCTTAAAACTCTTGAGATTTTAAAAGTTCACTTTTAAATTGTTTATACCTTGATTATTAATAAAAGTTATAAATTTGTTTCAAACAGGTAAGTAAAATATGAACAAAACATGTAGCTTTTAGTTTTTGTCTTTTGCACCTGCAGAGAGGCAATTGAGAGAACCTTCAAAGTCACGATGACCTCTTCTTTGCCGAGCAGGCAACGTCATGCTAGACCTGTAGGGTCAAGTAACTGGATCGTGACGTACGATTTAACTCGGAACACGATTTTCTTTTTGGCAAAGAATCACCTGACAAATTATATCTAAGCTTGGAATTCTCCTTACTTATGATTTATGTAAATTTACCTAAGAAATATATTATCTTATAAAATTTATCGATTAATTACAGATGTAATTAATCAGATTGTTGAAGGCGATATCTCATTTTAATTCTATTTTATTCCAATATTTTGCAACATAAAGCAAATTTTTAACAATATGAATGGTCTTTTACAGATTTGAAAAATTCGGAAACTTTTTCTCTGGAAAGGTTGATTTAATGTCAAGCTGTTTCGTACGCTTTCGAGAGTCAGTATTATTCAAGTTTCAAATTCGATTAAGAAATGGAATCTGCGTGAAATTAAATGAAGATTGAAGCTTTTGTTAAATGGATGCGTCTTTAAAGTTAAATTGGATTTGTGTAAATTTTATCAATGATTTATAAAACTCCGAAACTCGAAATGTCCATACCTATTGAAATAAATAGCATTATTTCTTTCTTTCTTTATTAATAATGAATATAACAGCTTTACGTTTCCAATATAAATTGTCAGAGAAATGTCAAATGTTGACAGATTGTAGTGCAACAAAACTAAAGTTAAAATTTATCATAAATCTTTGCATAATTAATTATTATTAATCACTCTCTAAAAGTCAATCAGTGATTATTCACTGTTTTCAGTGATAATACACTGATAGATTTTTAGAGAGTAGTATAACATGTTGGATATCTCTTGTTATTCTCACTTGGTTTCACACGGTTCAGTTTTCCATATTTAATATTATTTGAACAAACGATCGATAAGGTGTACTGAACGACAGTTTGGTTCTTCTAATTGAAGTATACGTTTCTAAGACCACATCGATCTCGATCTCGATCTCTATCTCGTGCGGGAGGAAGAGGAGAAAAGGTTAAATGAGTTAACCTCATGGAACCTAGATGACCTACGTTCTCAGTCCGAGTCAACTCTATATCGTAAATAATCTCTTGGTAGTAATGCAACGGGTATCCTGGACCTGTACATTTTTACAACAATTTACCATTTATGCCGCGCTTTCTGATTGGTCCTTCAGTTGTTTTGGAAAGATTGAAAATAAGTGTAAACTTTGAAAATACATTGGAGAACGAGCAATCTAAAAAAAATTGAATTGATAAGAAGAACTATTCCGGCCTAAAATGTCATTCTATAGGAAAATATTAAAAAAAAACATTTCTCTTCTGATAGGTCGATAGTTGGTGTTTACGTTTAAGATTATTTTAGGTATAGTCGTAATGTGTTGTCCAATCATAGATCCGTATAAGCATCTTAAAACATTACTTAAAATGATCTTGAAATAAGAACGGACATACGAATACCGGTCTTAGCGATTTGATGTTCAAAGAATTATACATATACATAAAATTAAACGTCACGTTTAAATGTAGATGCAATAATAAAATATTTTCTTCATATTGACTTGTTTTAATTTTGTCAAGGTTATTAATTATAACATTTTGGGCACGCATTCAGTACACATACACACAACGGGGTAATTAATAAACATTTGTACGGCTATACGTGTCAATATCGTCCCTATTATATATTTACATTTCTTAGCTTATTGGTTCTGTTTCATTAAATTAGTAAAACAAGTTGATTCTGTCTTAATTGGCACACAATGGCAAAATAAAAACATTTTACGGTGAGATTCTCCAACAAAATTATAAACAATTTCAGTAATGGAGAGTAATGAGAGATGATTCGTATGTGTGTCAGTGATGTAATAGCTAATAACAAATGACGAATTCTTATAATTAATAGGCCAAACTTTTCATCACGCACGTTTGCTCCGTTCTAGCTATTATGTTCACCTACGTCAATTGTTTTTCTAGGACGATGTGTGTCGCAATTTAAGACAGAACAAGTATTACACTTGGCTTCTATGATGCATATATGTAGATATATGCAGCATAACAGAGCGACATTTAGTATTTTAATTTTGGAAGAGATTTTATTTTACTTTGATTTTTGTTTTTATATCACAAATAAACCTATCATTAATTCGATTAATATTTCCAAGTCGTTTCATCATATTTGCCATTATTTCATCTCTCGATGTATTTATTTATTCAAAAGAGTGCTGAGAAAATCAATTGTTTCGGGTTAAAAAAGGTCGGAGATCTCCGATTACGAAATACTACCAAGTGAAAGGAGAGGAGGCTGGACTACGAAAGAACGTAATCAGGAAGAGAGTTCGATGACACGGCCGGCGAAGGAACCATAATTTGTGGATCACGTTCTGCACGAGATGTTAGTTCAACGAACTTAACTCTCTTGTGGATTCATATTTTTCGGTTAAAGCTACGAATAAAGATTAAGTAATCGAAATTTTTACTACAAGGTTTGGTTATAATATTGTGAATCTTCGAGTTTGGCATCGTTTCGCTCTCTTGCGACCATATTATTGAAATATGCATAAAATGGCGTGTTATAATGTCACGTAGCTCATAAGTAATCAAGTAGATTAAATGCAAATATATTAATTTATTCAAATTAAGTTATTCAATAAATGTGTTTTCACATTCAACAAACAAACATTCGACAGAATGTTTGTCTCATTTCAAATTGAAAATTTTATTTTTGTTTTTACCTAATTTTGAAATTTAAAAGATTCTTGGAATTTAGTTGAACTTTACTTTGTTTATTATAATATCGGCAGTTCTCCATCTCTTGGGAGCAAGTGGATCGTTCGCCATTCGGTATAAGCTTTAATGGTAACGGGAGTAACGGTCTTGTGATCGCCATGAGCACTGCTAGTTGCTCGTAAAATCGGTCAACGAGCAGATAAAATGGAAGCTTATAGATTCAAAAAGATAATATATTGACGTTTGCGGTTCGTACATATTTAAGTTTCAAACGAGAAATTGATTGGCTCGATCATCCTAATCGTTTCGACGAATTACGTACTTGGGCAGTTATGTACTCCTGCTACTCTCTACGTTATAGGCAGAATTGGATAATTAATCATTTCAAACGCAGTTACTTGAACCATTTACATTATTTCAATTTATACGGAAATACAAGTACTTAAAAATAAGCCAATATAACAAACAAAACAATCGTTTTCCAAATCACGGATTTTATTTATTTCGAAAGGAATAATAGAAATCTACAACATTGTTTATTTTAATGTACTTGTACATAAGCTAATAGTTTGAATCAATTTGCTTAATCTCATCGTCCAAGTGTTATTAATTAAAGATATCTTAACATGCAAAGGTATATTATTTTTGTCACGTAAACTACTTGAAACTTTTATTTGGTATTATAAACATTTCAAAATAAAGAACAATGTATATTCATTTATAAAAATTAAATGCAGCAAAAATGTATCGAGAAGCACATATTTTTCACGATATCACAATACATTGTACGACAGTGTGCATCAGTCCTGTTTACTCAGCCCTGTTTACACAGTCTGTTAATGTCTTTGAAGCATATTACGTGGTCTCTGATGTCTCGGTACGACATTGCGTAAGTGGGATTACTATGCGAGCATGCGGCTCGTAACCTTGAGAGCAGGCTACGAGCGAACACGTCGTGTCTCTCTGCCTACGTCTTGACGTCATTTACCGGCATACAGCCGAGAAGATGAGAACAATATAGATATTATACGAGATGCAACAAAAAACCGTGTTTGAGTCATAATATTTTTCACATAAAAAAAGAGTTAGTTTTTCAAAATATGTATCAATATCAGGCTTTGATATTTGAGACTTTCGCACTAGACATATATGAAGGTTTGGTTTTTGGGCTGGGCCCGTGTACGTTTGCCAGTTTATTTCGACGTTGCGTAAACATTTTTATCTAATTGTATCAGATTATTCCTCCCTGATGAAGTGAACTGAAATGTTTACGAACCATTGGAATATACAATGGCAAACTTACGGCGCAGTTTAATACTGATAAAATTATGTATATTGCAACGTAATGAGTAGGATCGTTAAATTATAGCTAACTTTAGAGATGTTTTGACAAAATAAATAAAATTATAAGAAATAAATGTTCCGTTACTGAATAGAAGTTAAATTGGTTTAAATTATTATTTGTTAGATTTCATTGGAAATTGAATGATTCGTACTAGCCTAAAATCCAATTTAAAAATAATACATGTATGATTATATTTGCATTGACATGCTCCATCTCGGAATAGTTAATCATTGATATTCTGGCTATTGGAAGATACGTCGGACGTTGTGTATGAGCGTATCGATAAAACACGCTTGATGTGATCGTAGGTAGTGGACATGAATTATCACGGTTACTTCCGGGAATATATCACGAAAGGAAAAGAGCATATATACGCGTTGCATATACATTTCAATACATGTATATTACGTTTCGTAAAAAAGATAAAGTTTTACAGATAATATCCCGCACATGCGCGGCGCGGCGCGTCGATTCCATTTACAATATAATAATGGTATTTATTAGACGATAATTATTACGAAATTTCAGCCTTTATTTCCTGGTCCTGATCTGTTATACACAGGAGCTAACAATGACGTATCCTTGAACGATTCGACATTTCACGTGTGTCGAGAATGATTTAATCGTACAAAGCTTATGTGCCTTCGTAATGTGGAACGGAAAATGATTTTACACGAGATAATCTTTCTCGGCTTTAGCTCACTCACAATCAGTGTTTTACGCTCGTTGGAATTTATTCGTACTTATTACGGTGTGCGACATTGGGCCATTCGCTTCTACAGTTTTACGTTTTTTTCCCCGTTGGTACTCTATCCGAGTGACTATATATAATATGCTCAGGATTGATTGCGCTACGGAATAAAGTGTCCCGCTTAATGTAACTATAAGGCCGCAAAGTCTGTTGCCCCAAAAGTACCACGGAAACAATAATTTTACCGGGACACGACACTGCCTTTACATTCCACTACAGTTATTAATTAATACGCGCATTGTGGAAGCGATTCCTCCACTTGGAGATAATCTCTAACAATAAAGAACCATAAACGATTACAGGTTTATTTAGTGGCGTGATACAGATTATTTATTTTTTGATTGTTTCATTGTTGTTGCGCACGGCTACACAAACTACACTGATTGTTAATTGTTGCTAGTATGCTGTGCATACATGCTGTTAATTCCAATTACTCGCTTACATGAGAATTCCATCAATTGTACATATACTAGAATTTGGGGATCAAATATTTACGATCTTGAACAATGATTGTAATGAACGATGACTTGCCTTGTCAACAGAGTCACGAAATAATAGCGACGATTACATTTTTACTCCCTGCTGCCACACCTAATGGGGATTATATTACCTATTTTCGATTAGTCTAATTACAGTTTGGTAGCAACGGTCGCTAAAGATAGAAACAAGGCATTAAACAGTTTCTTATTTTATTTATTACATTATTAATTGGTCTATAAAATCAATTTTATGTATTCTGTGGTAAAACGTCCGTTTGACAATGAAAGATATTAAACTGTTGTGTCTTTTTACTCGTAAAGTTTATTAATCAATCATTAAATATATATTTCTTTTCTTCTTCGTCTTTTAATTCTAAAACAAATATACTAATTGTTGCACTAAATATATGTATAGATTCAGAGTTAAAGAATTTATATCCTTAAATTACTATTTTTCGCTGAAACATTAACAAATTGTACTAAAGTTACGAAAAGTGATATCGATATTAATTTAGGATTTAATGTCGGACACCCCCAGGGTTTATTCACGTAATAGACTTAGAGGCGAAGCAGTAAAGCCGAGGCTTTAAAAACTCGTAGCTAGAAATATGAGTAGAACGAAGGAAATCTAAGAGCGGAATAACTTGGCAAAAGCGGAAATCCCCAGAGTTTAAGTAGGTTTATGTCGGTCATATCAATGGTATATTGCACCATACGCGACATTTGATGCATCGTCTTGCACGCATGTTATTGTCCTGCAGGATAAGCGTGCGATAATGAGATTAAATTTGCCGCGCACGAAGCATTATGGCCATCGCAATAACAAGGGGAGATTTTGCCACGACGAATAGATATGTATCTCTGCATATTACATATTGTCTTGGAAAGGATTCGAGTCGTACAATATTTTTTATCCTAGAAGGGTGGGTTGAAAAGTTTTGAGCCCAACATAGAAACTTTTTTTTCGGTCAAACTTACTATTAGATAGTTTCCTTTTAAGTCGATACACTTAATCCAGCGATGTTCGAACCGCTTTAACCCATCCAAATCATAGTTGGACGTCTTGCTCTATAAAATAGGCATCTAGGGATGCTATGATCTCGTTCGATGAAAATTTCTGTCCTCCGAGCCAAAGTTTGAGTTTAGAAAACAGGAAAAGTCACTGGAAGCTAGATCTGGTGAATACGGGGGTTGGCCAATCAGTTAGAACTGCAATTCGTGAATGTTGACTCGATATTCGATTTTTTTCATGTTTACGAAAATACTAACATCCACTAACACGACTGTCGTACATACAACAATCAAAGCATATACAGTCACAGTACTGAAGTGGCGACCAGTAATACCATTTTCATGTTGAAGCTCAAAACTTTTCAACCCACGCTCGCAGTAGCACAGTGCACTGGCTAAACATTGGCCCAATGTCAATTACATTAGAAATGCATTGGCCAATATTGTTCAACGTAAAGCCTGTTATGTAATGTTAGATTTATATTGGAAGTGCATTGACCGATATTTAACAATGCAATAAGAATATTGTATCAATATTAGACCAACATTGCTAAATAGACGTATTGGCTAAATAAGAGAAGGCGTCCATCTTACAATATTGGGTCAATATATTGTGCTACTAGGGTAGTTTTGAACATTTTTGAAGATGTTTTAAAAAATGCACGATGTATGATGGAGGCAATGAAAAATTTCTTCGACGCAAAATAAAGAATGTTTTTAATATAATAAAATTAGAGTAAAATGGAAATAGAGTTTAAAGAGAGAATGGCATATTAAAGAAACTGGTCATGATGCTTTCCTTTCTATGTGACACCAGCAGATATTTCTCTATTTTCACCGATTGCACGGGCAGGAAGTTGTCGGTGCCAGCTTATTACATACCGTAAAGCATAATTGCTCACTTAACTATTTTAATGGCGCTGGTGTCCCGCGCCATAACGCGTTAGAAGACAAAAGCGTTAATTTCAACAATTAAACAAAATGCGACGTACGCTTGTGAAAAAATGCATCGCATTGTAACATTAACGTGATTGCAAAATGCTTTGAAAGAATCTCGGCCGTATTTGAAGAGGCCACTTTATTCCCGAACGCATCGTTTAGCTAAATAATATGACTTTGTGATGGCGAGTAAAAGCGAATGGAAATAATGTCCAACTACTTGAATTGAAAGTTTGCGTCGTTTAGTCTATCCGAGAATGAGGAGGATAAAAAAGAAATTTGAGCAGATAAATCTTTTCTTGTGTATTTCCGGTCAGTGTCTCACATGCACTGGTTTAAAGATCCGTTTTACACTCGGCCCTCGCGGTCTTTAACACGGCGAAAGGGACTCGCGAGTGCAAGCGAGTGCAAGGGAGTGCAAGCGAATGCGAACGAAGGTAATGCCACGAGTGACGAGAGTGAAGAGGAACGCGAGTCCGAGAGAGAAGAGACGGAGGGAGTATGGTATACGACGAGGAGAGGAGCAAAAGGTGGGAGAGAGAGAGACGGAGCAACTCCGCGTCGGTCGGCATCGGAGCTCAGTTAGCTCAGTATGCCGCGCAGCGCGCAGGCTCGTGTACACGTATTATCCTTTTCTCTCTTTCTCCCACTCTCTCTTTCCTCCCGTTCTTACGCGCGCACCGCCGTTCGGTACGCACGCTCCGTATTCCTTGCGTACGTACGTACGTATAATACGTAGCGACGGACGAACGTGCGTGCGTGCGCGCGCGTGCGGTACGCAAGTACAAATATTTCGCGGCAAGCTTCTTCGCTCGTATGCGTTTCGCGCGCGCGCGCGCGCGCGGCCCACCTTTTCCTGCGCGTCTCCGCGCGAGCAGTGTCCGCGACGTCCGCGACGTCCGCGACTGTCCGCGAGTGCGTGACACGGGCACGTGTGTGTGTGTGTGTGTGTACGTGCACGTGATTTCTTTTTTTTTGAATGCATGACTAGGCGCGCACAGCGGCGAACAGGTACGCGGAGGACACGTCGTGGTCCGTGGTCGGCCGTCGCCGCGTCGCGCCGCGCGCCTCGTCGACTAACGGAGCGCTCGCCGCTCGCCGCCCGCCGCCCGCCGCTCGCGAAGCGCGCAGAGTCCTCGCTCGAACGAGACATTCGTCTTTGCTCGCGGAAAGAAGAGCGCATCGTCGTCTGCGCGCCGACGACTCGCGTCTGACCCATATACACGCTGGCACGGTGACACACGGTAGGGCGCGAAAGTGATCGAGCCGATACGAATGGGTGTCGCTCGCGGGAAAGAGCGGGAAAATGGAGCGGTCTCGACGAGTGCACGTACTACGCGTAGTGGTGCGCGGCTCTCTGGGTGAAGCAGCGAGTACGTTGCGAAACTCCTTTCGGGCCTGACGGTGAGAGATGTGGCACAAAATGAAGCGAGCGTATCCACGAACGATCGATAACTATAGCGGCACTATAGTCGACTCCTCGGTGAATAGCTCGCTGCTACCAGCCAATCCAACCTAACGGACAACGCGTGACCTCCAGGAGCGGCCGAGTAGGGTGGATAGGTTTCAACGACCATGTAGAGAGAAAGTTTTTCTCGCACCGTGGAGGAACAATGGCGATGCGAGTGGCAAGCTATTTTCCAACCTCGCGATGCGACAGTGATCGACGATCGATTTAGCGCGCATTGCGTTCCGGTATCCTCCTTCCCCTTCTCCGGAACGTTCGGAGCGGAACGCCCGCCAAGAGAATAAAAGTCGAGGAAGAGAAGAAGGTGGAAAGGAGGAGAAAGGAGATATATATATATATTTTTAGCAGCGCCGCTTTGCACATCGCAAAAACCGGTTTCACAGAGTCCACCGAGTCGCGACGGAGCACGAAGGAAACCGATAGCTTACGCCAAGGGTTTTTCAGGGAGGAAGGAACACGCGTGTATAAGAGAAATATTCGCTCGACACGACGTGACAGATGTCGAAATAGCTGCGACAAAAATTGTAATAAAGAGGAAGCGGTGACACGGAAGGTGCGGAATTCGCTTAACTCGATACGCGCGCAATTTCTCTTGCACCCCGCCGCACCTTGTTCGCCCTCGACCCCTCCTCCCCTATCCTCCCGCGCCCGTTACCAGTTGTAACCGGCTTATCGATTGCGTGCGTGCGTGCGTACGCGACAACGCGGTCGACACGAGATTCGATTATCGACTCTAATAACGACGACGAAGCTAGAGAAGCTACCTGATTCGACAGACAGTCAAGACATTTTGATTATCGAGAATACGCACACCTATCGTACTCTAGTCTGTAATTTTTAATGAAAATGGAAAGGAAGATGGACTGAAAATATTTTACTCGTCAGCGACGTAACGACCAATCGCAGTGTATACTACATCGATACCTTGGAGGTGAGAATCTCTATAATTGACATAATGAGAATACTTGGGTCTCTTCCGCGTTGAGAATTGTCCTCGACATTGGACGAAGAATTGGAACGGCATGAAGAATGGCAACCAATTCGAGTACTCGTCAGGGCGTGAGGGCGGTCGCCACGACGACTACCGATCCGCAGCGGAGCGAGAAACGTGCCGTCGCGGCGCGGGGTGCCGCCGGCGCTCTGGCCCTGAGCGTCGTCGCTTTGGTCGTGCAATCGGCGGCCACCGCGACTCCCACCTGGGGATACTTTACCAATCCTAACGGTGAGTCATTGTCCGACAAGCGTCATCAGTTTTATTAATTATAGAGCTCTTTTACCCACGTCACTCATTTTCTGGCTATGCATTATGTGGGCTACTACATTTTTTTTCGCGATCTCGCTCGATTCTCGCTGTCTGTCACAATTAGCTGATACTCGACCAATATTTCGGAAATTATCATTCAACGGGGAGAAACAGCGATTACCGATGCACTTTATCGCGATCCAATTTTGACAATACCTTTGTGTAACGTTAATATATAATAAATGAATAAAGGAAATTAAATTAGCTTCGATTGACGTTAGCATAATAGCTCAGGCGCTCTAATTAGATTTAGCGCTTTTTATCACTTCTCTTTTTCTGCCAATTATAATGGAACGTTATGATTAAGCTTATAGAAAACACACCTCTGCTACTTAATCGTATACATCGAGTAATAGAGGAAATGTCACATCAATTTCGATGTTCGGACTTGTATGTACACGTATGGCTCAGCAATTCCGTAGAGACGTATGAATGATCGATAGTTTTATCTCGTCGATGCACCGATCAGGGATGCGAGTCTTTGAGCACGTAACGGGATTACCAAAGGATGTTGGATACGTTATATTTGATTTATTTTCGTACGTGATAAATAAAGAAACGGATATTGAAGGTGCGATAATTGTCCAACTGATAGAACTCCTTAGAATTATCATTGATTACTTCTTTCTGGTTAAATGTTAATTACTTGCCTCTTCTTAGATAGCTATTGTAATAACATAAAAGAGAAACTAGCCTCTGATTAACAGTTAACCAGAAATTGAAAAAGCTTAGCTCGGTATATATCGTAATAAATAATGTTTCAACTTTCGAGAATTGTCACTCTGAAAATGTTACATAATGGCAAAATCTATTGTACATTCAGGTTTGCGGATGATTATCAAACGTCACTTATGTTTCTCATCTCGAGATACTATGCAAAAATAACCACGATGACATCATGCTTGCGGTATTACGCGAGTTATATCGACTAACAAGATGAACTAGCTTTTCTCAATTTATGTGAATATAATTTATACCTACTTACTTATCTCTCGTTTAAACACGCGAAGAAACGTTGACGACATTCCAAGGTAGACGAAGAATGGACAATTATCGCGAGTAGTTTTTGCGACGAACGGCACGGCGCGGCGTCGAGAAGATTTCAATGGCTTCGCGTGTCGCAAGTAGAGCGTGTTAAATATGTTGAAAGAGGCAGAAACATTTCCTTGGTTCATTCATATCAGCCTAGTATAATCGAAACGCGTTTCCCGCCCGGTTTTACGGAGTAGTAAAGGTTTGACCCAATTGGACGCATATGGTTGTTCATATATCGAGTCAATTAATTCCAGCAGCTCATTTTTACAGCTGCGTTACGCGCACTGCTTTACCTCGTCTACCTCTCGCCGAGCCGTTTCTCTCTTGCCTAATAGTTACGCTGCCGGCTGCGTAACTATAGTCTCGGCCTTCTCTCGAACGCGCTGTTCTTCTCGCGAGGATCGCGCGTAATTTCCACTACAAAGTCCATATACTCTTTGCGCAATCGTGTCAATGATGTTTCCTCCATTCTAGTTAACGAGAACAATTTGTCACTCGCGCGGTTATCGCTTCTACGTTGTTATTGCTCGCTATTCCGGCAGGTGTTGGCTCGCGCGCGTCATCACTCTATTTTACTGAAATTTTATCAGTGACAATTCGTTGCCTCCAATTTGCCTAGTTCGCCGGTGACAGTACTGTAAAACCTTGCTGATTGTAAAATGTTGGCTCGTGACGATTTCGTCAAGTGGCTCATATAGGATGAAACAAGCACGGTTCTGGTCTTCGGCTCTACGAGAGGCGTGTCGTCAGGCGCGACGCTCATTATACATTATACGCATGTATACCGCGGTATGAAAGCGTGATATTTCAAAGAACGACAACGGGTCGGACGTTGCTCAATACCGCGCGACTCGGAAACCAATAACGCGCGGTTTCCTTGTGCTAAATACAACGGTACGCGTAATTTCTTGTCGGTGATATCCCGCGTAGGATGCCGTGTAACGACGCAACATAGCTAATCTCCATTCGCGCGCTTACAATTGCAGCAGGATAATCGTAAGAGAACCCGTTGAAATTCGAGCAGCGCGCGAGACCAAGTAACGTAGTACAAGTGTTTCCCATACGCGTGGTTCCCATCGTTTTCCGCCGCCATTGTCCGCTTCTCTCCGTTTCTCTCGTTCCGCGTGTAAGCATGCATATCGAGGAGCATCGTGGAAAGAAAAATAATACGACCGCTTCCTCAGCGGCTTCCTTCGACCCGGCGCGGGAGAAAAATCTCTCCGTCGCGCCCGTCGCGCCCGTCGCGGTCGCATCGCGTCGCACCGTGCGCGAGAAGCAACACGCTCCCACACTCGCGGCGCGGCGCGGCGCGGCGCGGCGTTCGATAAACTCGTAGCAATCGTAGCCCTGCACAACACGCACACGCTTGCGTTCTGTGCGTAGCAGGTGTCTACCACCATATGACGTTGCCGCTAAATATCGGACGCGGATGTACGTTTGTCTACATATGGTGCTCCCGAAATAGATTATCAAACTTTACCAACATATTCTATTCACTTTAGAACCAAGATGCCACTGTGGAAGGCAATCGTCTTTGACCATATTTTTAAGACGAAAAAAAGACACTCGTCTCAAGATGACAAAATATTTCTATTTTAGAGAATGAATCTACGCAACCGCGTAGATTATTTTTTCATCTCTGCTTGTGAAAGAATAAGGAAAAGAAAAGAATTTTGTCACGCGAAGGAGAACAATGTGCATGTAATCAAGTTTTTTTTGTGCAGCATGCATTTCTATAAGATTTTTAAACGAGCATCATTGATATTATTGAAGCTTTCGTGGTTTCGATACCTTTTCCTCACCCTGTATATGAGGCACGGTCACTTGCGCACAGGTACGTCAGGTATGTAGCTACCTGCGACAAGAACCCGGCGTTTCACAGGTGTTCGGATTCACAGGTGGCAAGGAATACTGTTACACATGCGCGCACGCATACGCATGCATACGTTCGTCGTTGGGCGCGACAAGAGCGACGACACACGTTGCAAAGCTGTTAATTGCGGGCGGAGAGACAGGGCTGACGGTCAAGTTCCGCGATAGAATCGATAAGCCGTGAACAACGCGGGCCGCAGTTTTTTCGTCTCCTCCCTCACGCGTGTCGCACATATTGTTATTTCTCCAATCGGAAGATTCATTCGATTCTTGTGTTGTAATGACTCGTAATTATTGTATTTATTATTGTGAGCAATTCTCTTATTCTGTATAAACAGATTTTATATATCCTTAAAAAGATTCCTTTATAAAATATTGATTGGACCCTTCAGAGCAGTTTAACGGAGTGATGAAGCTATAATAATTTCTTATTTTATTTATCTTAATTATATAATTTATATGGCCATAGATATACTACGTAAACTGCAATATTTAGTAGAAAAATATTTTGCAAAAAGTAATAAAATGATTTTCAACTAATTAAGTAAATCAAAATGCAATTAAAAGTAAATCTGTTTTAAAAGTGTAATTTTACAGTAAAGTTCAATTTTGAAGTAATCCAATCTTTTTCAAAGATATATGCACAGTATCTCTAGTCTTACTGGAGTATCCAGTTTTCCGTTGAACGAGATTTGTAAAACCTGATAAGATACGATCTAAAATTAAGTGTAGGGAAAGGACGCTTTTGATCGCAACAGATGGACGCGGCTTTCTTGCTCGTCAATGTACCATTACATTCGGGACCAGTTCGTTGATCGATGGAATCCGTTGCGCGCCCGTACCAGATCCGATTGATGACACGTCATGGCCGATTTCTTGAAGCGGTACTACGACGCGACACCGTCGTAGACAACGTAATTCACGCGTGCACAATCGTACAACGATTGACCGAGTATATATATGATATGCATATATAGAGAATATGATAAATGGTATATATATATATATATATATATATAACAGAAAGAGGAGGGGGGGGAAGGATGGAGAGAAGAGAAAGGCATAGGGTACCGCTATACTAGGGCTCAGGAGTCTCCGAGCCGAGAGTGCAACGGCCTTTACCTGGCTCTCACTCACCCTGTCCCCTCTACGACTCCACTCTCTATGCGATCTTTCTCTAAAAATTATAGTCTGCGTGCGCGGGAGTCTCGTTTACCGGTGCGAAGACTCTCGTTCATAACGGAATACAAAGTTACGAATTATCATAAGAATTCTTCGTTCAAGTACTCTTACGATGTTGAGTGACGATACTTGTTTTAATGTCTCCCCGGTTGACATTTCTAAATTTTATTATCGCGCAAGTTCTCAAGAAATTTGAGACCAATATACATTGCAGTACGATATAATGTTACAATGAATGATAACGCGCGCGTGTTGAAATGTTTTGAAGAAAAGTAAAATTTAGTAATAAATTAGTAACCTTTTTTACAACAACAACAACAACGATGATAATAATAATAATAATAATCTTTAATGACGAATCTAACAATATCGTTATAAATAGTTAAAAGTATTATAAACAAGTAATAAGATATAAAACATCTTTAAGACGTCTTTTAGATATACTTCTCGATACTTTTAATGGGAAGCTCTACTAGGGAAACTCATGCTCTACTAGCACCCCATTAGAAATTGTAAGGCGTAACAAGGGGCAAGTCATGAGGTCTTGATAAGGAAAACCTGAGGGGTAAACCGCTGAGGCATCGTGGTGTGCAGATTTTGTGGCATTACTGAGCATTAGACCTTGTTGGGGCATTTCAAAGATAAAATAAGATTAAATTAGATAATAGCAGATAAGTAAGATTAAGTAATGCCCACTGACATTAGTAGGCATTGATGTACATGATTTTGGGAAAAGCTGAACAGGCAATTTTAATTCTCGAAATGACATTTATGGTCAGAGCCCACCAAGGACTACCTGATGAGTGCCTCATCAGGCATTATTACGACCT